TTGTATTCAACATGGGAACTTTATCAATCGTAATATTCTGCTTCTTTGCAATCGCCAGCATATTCGACACAACACATGCAACATTTGGTGGCAAAGAACATGTACATATCCGTGTTCATGTGCCAACCATTGTGAAAGAAGTTTATGTAAAAAAACCAGTTCACCATCACGAACACCACGATGATCATTATTCTGGTCATAGTGATCATGGAAGTTCATCTGGTGGTTATGGAGGATCTTCTAGTAGTTATGGTAGTGGTGGAGATGATTCGTATAGTGATCACGGATCTTCTGGTATTTATGATTCTGGATCAAGTGGACATGGTGGTAGTAGCTATGATGATAGCTCATCCGATGAATATATTTCCAGTGATCACGGATCAGGAGGTTATAGTGGATCTTCCGGTGGTTACAGTGGTTCATCAGGAGGATTCGGTGGATCTTCTGGTGGATATGGTGGTTCATCAGGAGGATATAGTGGATCTTCTGGTGGCCATGGAGGTTCATCAGGAGGTTATAGTGGATCTTCTAGTGGTTACAGTGGTTCATCAGGAGGATTTGGTGGATCTTCTGGTGGATATGGTGGTTCATCAGGTGGATATGGTGGATCATCAGGTGGACATGGTGGTTCATCAGGTGGATATGGCGGTTCATCTGGAGGATATAGTGGATCGTTCGGTGGTCATGGAAGTTCATCAGGAGGCTACAGTGGCTCCTTAGGAAGCTACGGAAGTTCTTCTGGAGGTTATGGTGGTTCTTCAAGCGGAATTTTATTTAGTGGGTATTCTGCTAGTAATCACAAAGGATCATCCGGTGGATACGGCGGAAGTTCATCAGGTGGCTACGGTGGTAGTTCACTTGGTGGGCACGGTGGAAGTTCATCCGGTGGATATGGAGGTAGTTCATTTGGTGGACACGGAGGAAGTTCGTCTGGTGGATATGGTGGAAGTTCATTCGGAGGACATGGAGGAAGTTCATCCGGTGGATACGGAGGAAGCTCGTCCGGTGGATATGGTGGAAGTTCATTCGGAGGAGGACATGGAGGAAGCTCGTCTGGTGGATATGGTGGTAGTTCATTCGGTGGATCCGGAGGAAGTTCATTCGGAGGATATGGTGGAAGTTCATTCGGAGGAGGACACGGAGGAAGTTCATCTGGTGGATACGGAGGTAGTTCATTTGGTGGACATGGAGGAAGCTCGTCCGGTGGATATGGTGGAAGCTCATTTGGAGGATATGGTGGAAGTTCCTCCGGTGGATTTGAAGGTGGTTCATTTGGGGGACATGGAGGAAGTTCAGGAGGTTTTGGAGGCTACTCGGGTAGTGGTTCCAGCTCTGGTGGTCATGGTGGAGACACCTATTCAGCCCCAGGACAAGATAGCTATGGACCACCAGGCGAAAGTTTTCCTTATACTAAAAAATGAGCCACAGTGAAATTTCAAAACAAATACTTTATTTTTAACATGAATTTAATTTTAATTTTGTTATATTGTTACATACGTTATTGCTATTGATTTATATCTAATATGGAAACAATTGTTAAATGTTTTCATTTTCTAAGACTGACTTATCTGTTTTTAATAGTAAATATAAAAATAAACACATTTTATTAGAATTTATTGTACTGTTTTTTATTTATTTTTTTCTAGTATAATTATATACAAACTAATAATTGCAATTACTAACAATTAAATGATTTTATCAACCAGTGTCTTAACACTAAGATCTATCCTGAAAAAAATAATAATAGATAGTAATAATCAGTTATTTGTATTTAATAGGTTTCTTTAAAACTTTACCTAACAGATGAATTATAATTAACTAGTAAATTCATTTAAAACAGTATTTCCATGATATTTAATATTTATACATTATAGTTATAAAATTTTCCTTTATGTACTGATTTTCATTGAGTATTGAAGTATATAGTCAGATACAAGTTATAAATTTAAACAAAAAAACGGTTAGATATGCGTACATCGATGTAATTAATTATTTTGTTTGAATAATATTTTAATTTTCATCAATTTTTATTTAAGACAGCGCTATAATGGTGTATAAATATAGAATAATTAATTTGAATGACTAACATTTTTTTTGTACAAAATAGTGATTAAGGTGTTAAGTATAACCAAATTATTAAATTTAATAATTTTGTGATTTTATCTTTTGTTATTAAATATTAACATAACAATAAAAAATATAGATTTTTTTATAATAACACTACTTTCATTTACTAATATGCCAAAATTATATTGCGATAATTTAAATTAATTTTATACTCGTCCTTCAATTATAGCGTAACGACATATATACTAGATACTGATAACATTTGCCATTATATTCTTACATATATGAATATCCATACTATTACTGTACTGGTTGAATAAAATTCAAAAGTGAATTTATTAAAAATATATTCTTGCAAGTGAGAAATTTTAATAATTTAGACAATTTTGAAATAACACGAATTTCTAGGTATTTCTTAAAAATAATTTTGATTTTCTGCTGTTTTTTTCCCCTTGGTACTACAATTGATTGTCTTAATTATTTTAATTAATTTAGTCAAATACATGATATTATCTTAAACTTGTGTTTCACATCGGGTACATTAATTATTTAATTGAACCTTTATTAACGGTAGTATTAATATTCTTACTAAACGAGTTAAAAAATTAAATTTTGTGTGAAAATATTTTTATTAATCGTTAATTAATATGATAATTTTTTTGAAAAATAATTTTATGACCAATTCGATAGCATATTTTGTTTAGTTATATAAGTATAATAAAAATAGTAATAAAGCCATTGAGATATAAAATAAAAAATTAGAAATAATAATATTAAAATTACTTAGTATGTTAGTTGAAAATGTATTAAAAATCAGTAAGCGCCTATATAATAGTGTTAATCAAAAATAGACATTAATGATAACTGTGTTGCCTATATCATATCTTTGTACAAACCTAATATTTCAATAATATTAAAACTTTAATTTGCATGTCACCAGTTGGCTGAAAGAATGATTTAATATAATAGTAATAATATTTAATATACATAATAGTTATTTAGTATAATATAAAATAATATTGTATAAATAGGTAACCTATGATATTATTGATACTTAGATTATAAAAATCATGTTTCTAATACTAGTCTAAATTTAATCAACCGTAATGCTTTATTGCTATGCATAAAAAGTAACAACAAACCAAATACTTTCACAATTTACAAAAGCCACGCTTAAATCCAAATACTACTTTTTAATTTTTCAACAGATAATAGACAATTATACAAAAATGATATTTTATTTCACTAATGTACAATTGTCAATCACTAATAGCCAATTAGTATACTGTAGTTAAACTAAAATTGTAAGAAATTTAAATCGTCAGATAAAACCAAATCGTCAAAATACGTGTATAGACGGGTTAATAAATGGTTAATAATCACACAAAAATCATTTAAGTTTTATCCGAATACCATTCAATCTTCGACCTTCAAATAAAATACAGTAAATAGTAAATAGTAGTAAATTAATTTTTTCGTCAAAAAACCAGAAATGTTTTTGGACAAAGCGTTCGACGATTGATTCAAACCTCAAAAATCATCTCTAAATTACAACAAAGTGATTGATAAAATGATAACCCAACATTTATTCTATAGACTGACTGAAATATCTGAGAATTAAAATCACTTTATTCTATTGTACGTTAAAACTGTGCCAAGACGAAATTTAAGTATTCCAATAGATATTTTATAAATCGTTTTACATGCCACCCAAGGAATGGTGTGTTTCACATAAACTTCTTGTAACGAATTACGACTAAATACTAATCAAACTAAATGTTAAGATGGAATACTCAAATAAAGCTCTCACTAACAGCAGCTAGTGTATATGCAACCCGCACGATCTTCTCGTATTTAAGTATAAGTAGTATAACTGATAATAAAACAAACACTTAATTCAAGTACATTTTTAAATACTTCGCGATAAAGAAAATATTTATAATGTTCAATACCAGCACAGGTATATATTATTTTTTTTAACAAAAAATAAAAATGAGCTAAATTTAAAAGTGTTTAAACTTTTCTTGTTTGCATATCATGCATACCATGAACAATTATATTTGTTTCACATATTATAATTATACATATTTTGTTATTTGTTGACATATATTAATTATTAAGAATAAACTGTATGTTAATAGTTTTAAAATAATTTATTTACTCAACCTGTATAATCTTAAATATAATATATTTCGTTCTAACGTTTATATCAGTTAAAATATTTTTTTGAACTTTTCCATTCTCTTTAATACAACATAAAAAGAGTTTTTTAAGTGTAATGCAGAAATTTATTTGCACAAATAAATATTTTCTATTTACTTAATTTAATCAATATTATATTAAAAACGAAAGATTACTGATAAAAATTTGTTTTTTTCATTTAAAGCAACGTACTCAAAATAAGAATTTTAAAATATAATATTATACGTATAATTGTTAATTTGCATTGAATGTTTTTAATATTAAAAATAGAATACTGAAAATCAACTTTTTTTAAATTGTAATTTACTTAGTACACGATTAATAAAATAATTACATCTTAAGTGTAAATTCTGTCTATATGGACATACAGTGGGCGTTGAATTTATTGTAGGAGGATGATGATATCTTTCATTGAAGCCACTTCAGCGTGGGTAACATGAAACGTCTGACCCTTACAATCATAAAATAATTATTGTGATAGTATATTTAAGAAAACTTGAAATAATGTTATATATTTTAACAGTTCAGATTTGATTGTATTTTATACTAAAAATTATACTTTAAGTTCTATAGCATACATACATTTATATGTGTATATTATAAGCAATAATTATTATACTTCAGTATTTTAGAATAAATTTTAATAGTAATAAGACATTACTAAATGGTCTTCCACACTGCACTGATGTACCTCTATTGCCTATTCTTTATGCCGTGTAACAACAAATCTAAGTTGAGAGTATCGTCTTACTTAACTCATTTGTTCATCTTGTAGCTCATACATTGAAGTGTTGTTATAAATGATAAATAATTAACTGAACAGAGCAAAATAATCATATTTCTATCATTGTGCAGTATTATTAATACTTACTATAGTTTAGCTATACTCCTCTTATTATAATAGTGACTTTCCTTTATAGGTATTTTACAATGAGTATAACTATTATCCAAACTGTATTGTTGAATTGTTCTAAATAAAATATAATTAATGATAAGAACTTTATACTTTTTAATGTCTGTGGTTTCTATATTTACCACCTATTAAATTTTAGTTAATAATTTTTATTGACGATGACAATACGTGGACATATGGCAAAGATTTCAAAAACTAAGTACCTAATAGAAATATAAAAGGTTGGCATTTAAATATAAATAAATAATAATATATAAGTATATTTAATATAGAAATAGTATTATTGTAAAATAATTAACAGTTTTAAAGGATTTATCATTTATTTTATATTAAATTAATAACTAATAACTAATAATAATAAAAAAATTAATATATTTACATAAAATAAAATTATATTGTAATATTTATAGGTATTTAATTATTTAATATTTTCTTTATATGTGAATGTTATATATTAATAATAATTTTTATTACCAGTTTTGTTATTTTGTAATTATTCAAAAAATATTAAAATTATCATAAAAACTTGACATACGTTATTATTTAAATCGTAATTTTCTGTACGCAATAATACTTATACTTTCAAAATATTTCAACTTATTTTAAAAGCTATATTATAATATCTTATATTTAATCAATCATTGATATTATTTTACAAAATGTATATAGAAATATATTTTAAATATATTTTAAATCAGTAAATATATTTTATGTTTTATAATTGTTAATTGTTTAACATAATTATCTTGATAAGTTCTTTTAGCGTCAAAATAAACGTACCATCAAGTCCTAAGACTTAGCAGTGCTGAAGTATAAACATCATATCGTTATAAGCTTTAAAGGAAAGTACGTTAAATAATGAACATAATATATTGTACTTTAATACAAAACAACAGTGCTCGCTGAATTAGTTTTCAGATAGGGCCATTGCCTTAGAGCGTTTGAAAATAAGACTTTACACGTGTTAGTGCCTATATATTAATGTGAGAAATACGAATGATGCAACAATATATACATTTGATTTTCTAAAGTCATTTTAATATTTTTGATAAAAATTGTATGGATTGAACAAAAACCTTGAAAATTGAATACAAGATCCACGTAAATTGTTCTTATAAAAAGTTAAAAATACAATGGCATTTCTTTTTTTATTGTTCTGCGTTAAATTGTATTGTCTAATAAGTTCAAAACATGTAGTAAACTTATCTGAAATAATAATATTATAATCACTATGACCTATATTATTTTATTATTATTATAATTTTTTTTTTTTTTTTTGTTAAATAAATTATTTCAACCT